CACAGTTCATCTGCAGAGGCAAGCTGTGTAGGCAGCTCCTTAAGTCTCTGTTCCCTCGCTCGCTTCTTCATGGAGGCTATTTGAATCAGGTGGCCTTAAAGGGTAGGTTCCCATAGAGAGATTGCTGAAGTGACAGAGCCGACATTGACGGAAAAGGTTTGGATGTGTGAATAAATCCTGGTGCATGAATCCTAGGATGTTAGATGAGAGTCCTTGATTCTCCATTGAAAAGAAGGGCAAGACAGGCCTGTGAGAGGAAAAAAAAAAAGGTTAAGGGTTCATGGTCGGACCAGGGAGAGGCTGGAATAGTGAATTTGCTCACCTGGGAGATATGCCACAAGGGGACAAAGACATAGTCAATCCTACACTGGCTGTTGTGAGAATAAAAAAGTGAATTCTTGACTCCTGGGATGGAGCCTCAAGCGGACCGTGAGAATGAAGGAGAGAGCACATTTGAGCTTCCAAGTCAGGATCATGTGATGGAGTAACCCCAGGGGCATACTGTCTTTTTAAAGAAAATCTGAGGGCCACATTCAAGTCCCCCATGAGGAGCAAAGCTTAGCGTGTTGTGCTATCACTTAGAGAAGGTGGGAGAAAAATGTATTTTGAAATCGACTGGGGAGTAGTAGGACACCAAGGTGACCTCTTGGTCATTGAGAGTGCCATGAAGCAGTAAGTATCTATCAGTGGAGTCAGCAAGTTTCTTATTACAAGAAAATAGAAGGTTGCGACTGAACACTCTCTGGTGCTTCTTGGGAGCTGAGGCTAGAAAAAAAGTAGGATAATGCAGAAAAAGAAATTGAGAAGAGGAGTGTGTTCCTTCTTGAACATTTAGAACAACATATTGCAGCTTACCAATCATTAGATGGGGTGGCTGTATTAAAAGAAGTATGGGATTTATTTTTCCCCTAATTATACTTACCTAGGTGGATGCAGCATTGGTCCCATGCTGCATCTGTCCCCTGCTGGCTCCAAGTGTGAAAACTCAGCAATCACATGACCGCTGATCGCTGAGTTTTCACAGCCACTCTGAGCAGAGAGAGTGACTGTCAGTCACTGCTCTCTGCACTGCCTCCACCCGTGCTCACTTGAGCACTGGGCTGTGGAGGGGGAGGGAGCGGGTGGCTCAGGCTCTCAGTGGATCGCTGAGAGGCTGAGCCAGGTGCCACTCCAGACCCTGGAGTGTATCCAGAGTGACGTCAGCCGACAGTGGGCTTAAGCCGGCTGTCAGCTGAAAACAGGTCACAGGAGTTCAGAATGAACTGTACTCCTGTGACCCACTGTGTACAGCCAAAAAAGTTTACTTTTGGCCTAATTTTCTTTTTTAGACTTTTTAACCTCTGTTTTCACCTGAGGATCTGGCCAGTAACATGCCTCCTGTATTAGAGTGCTACATTTGCAGGACAGCTTGTTCTGTTGAAAAACAACAGACTTACAACAGGTGAAAATAAAAGAAAGAAACCCCTAAAAAGAAATCTAATGCAGCCATCACATCCAAGACATGGTAAGCTGCAATATAATACACTAAATCTTTGCTTTTGGGTTTAATACCACTTTAACCCTTGCAGTGTGGGGACCACCCCATTGTAAGGGGGGAAATTTTTGTTTTCTTTGGGGCTTTAGCTTTAAAACCTCCAAACAATGATATATTTTCTGAAAGGAGAGGCCCTGTCAAATAAAATGATGGCAGTTGCAATTTTTTTTAAGTTGCTTGATATTTGCGCAAGTATTCATTCAGTTTTATATCTATTACAGTACAGTACAAGGGATCACTTTTACATGAAAGCTGGGAGTTGGCTGAAAATAATACCAAGCTTGTTTTAACCCATTATCTACCAGGAATATTTATAAACATATACTGATAGACAAGTTTAAACAGCTCTGCTAGACAAGTACATCCAGTCTGATTGCCCCACTTTTCTCTACTGCAGTTACAGCTGAACTCTGGGATAGGAAAATATTGTCTAAATACTGTACATGTATTTATACATGTTTATTCTTACTTAAATCTCAGTGAGTGTTGGAATACAGTGATCATGTATTTTGCAACAACTACTTCAGAGTTACGTAAAGATACTGTATATTTTTCAACCAGTAGATGGTAATGCTTATAAGTTTGTAGCTGTGTCTTTGATTAAACTCTATAATAAAGATCCTGTTTCCTGTTAGCAGAGAAGCAGCAGATAAACATATGTGGACTGTGCACTGTCTTTTCGGTAGGGCTATATCCACTTGCCCTTCAGAAGATTTACCCCTCTTCCTGACCAGGCCATTTTTAGTTTAACTGACAGTTGTGCAAATGAAATTTATGTCATATTTTCCCCACAAATAGAGCTTTCTTTTAGTGGTATTTGATCACCTCTGTGTTTTTATTTTTTGTGCTATAAATGAAAAAGCACAGACATTTAGAAAAAAAAAAATTATATATATATATATATATATATATATATATATATATATATACACACATACACACACACAGTATATAAAAAAGAAAGAAAAAAAGTATATATATATATATATAGTATATATGTATTAACTTTCTGCTATAAAAAACATATCCATTAACCGCTTCTGCGCCATCTATAGTAGAAACACTGCTACAGGGCGGCACGGGTGCACAAAATCACGTATATATAGACATGTGATTTGCGCTCCCACGATTTTCTCAGGAAAAGGTGCTGTGATTTGATCCCCGAGGGATCAATCATCCGATTTAGACCAGTGATGGTCGGCCTAAGTTGGATGATCGATCCCTGTCCTGTCAGGGATCTTCCTGTACCCGTGTTTACAGTTACACAGCTACAGGAAATGGTGACATCTTCTCTCTCTGGGCACATTCTGTCACAGAGAGAGAAGAATCAAGACACACAGTGAGTAAAACAGCACACTTACACAGTTAGAACACTTTAGGACACATTTAACCCCTTGATCACCCCCCCCCCCCAGTTAACCCCTTCACTGCCCTGTCACCAGTGTCATGAGTACACTGTACAGATTTTTTGCTGACCACTGTATTAGTGTCACCAGCCACTTCAGATAGCGTTAGCATCATTGCCCCTCTGAGATAGTGTCAGATTGCCAGTCAGTACACCAGTAATTGCACTTAACCCCTTGATTGCCAGGAACATGCTCACATACTTAATAAACCTCCATTGCTAGTATAGTGTCTGAACGGATCAATATCTTTGATCAGATCAGCACTATACCAGCGTTCACATTAGTATAGTGTCCCCAAAAATGCAGTGTTAGCGGGATCAGCCCTGGCAACTGCCAGCACCTGCGTTTAGCCCCTATGCTTACCCCCCCTTCTCCCCCAGCAAGTGCATTGTCAGTAGGTCACTGCCACTTGATACATTACTCACAAAACAGCAGCGTTTGCAGAATCAGGCCTGATTTCTGTTAGCACTTATCAGTAAATTTTTATAGTAGTGGTTCAAGCAGTCCCTGACAGTCAGGTGCTCTTTTTCCTGTGAGTTGCACTAGGTACCTTTTAAATTTAGTGGCCAAAATGTCACTGTAAAGGTACTCTGGTGAAGAGGCCTACAGGATTCTGAGCATGTCAGATGAGAGCGAAGGGGAAGACTCCCTGACACAATCAGCCTCAGCAGCAGCACCCTGAGAGATAGCTCAGACGATGGAAAAGAGGTCTCAGCTAAGGTCAGGCGTATCCAACCCTGTTCCCAGGTTGCTGAGATGTTACAAATGCATGATGACTCTCATATGCAGCAGAGTGCCAGTACTAGTGCTGCTCTACCATTTGGTGAACTGGCGAGTATGAGTGGCCTAGTACATCCTGGTCTTTCACATACCAGCACTGCAGTATCACTTGGTGACATGGCAAGTCCCATAAGTGCAGTACAAGCTGGTGCGGTGGCGAGCACAAGTAGTGTCCCGCAGCCACCAAAAATTTGCACACAGTCCCGTAGAGCCCTAGTATCCTTCCGGATGTGCTTGCAAATCCTGACTGGCAGCCCACAAATTCTGCAGCATCCACACTTCCCCCATTCATTGCCCAACCCGGAATTCAGGTGGAAACAGCAAATTTAAATACTTCCCTTGATTGTTTTGGAGTTGTTTTTCACAGATCTGTATGCATTGATTTTGGATCAAAGCAATTTATATGCACAACAGTTTATCACCGCAAACCCAAATTCAAACCTTGCCAGACCATTCCCATGGAAACCCATTTAACAAACTTAAAGTTTTTTTGAGCCTAACCCTCAACATGAGCATTACTAAAGAAAAATGAATTGCTGTTGTATTGGTCCACAGACCCAATTCCTCATATGCCCGTGTTCTCTGCTGCCATAGTCAAGCATAGATATGAGAGTATAATGCATTTTATGCATTTCAATGACAACACACTCTGTCGTCCTTGTGGTGACCCTGAATTTGACCGGCTCTACAAAATTCAGCCTCTTGTAAATGACCCTAGCCAAAAATTTGTAGATGTCTATACTCCCCAGCAAAACATGTGCATTGATGAGTCCCTCATTAAATTTTCTGGCCGCTTTCCATTCATATAATTTCTCCTCAGCAAGCGTACCAGATATGGGGTCAAGATGTATAAGATCTGTGAGAGGACAACAGGCTATACATATAAGTTTTGGAATTATGCAGGAAAAACATAGTCACGTGAGCCTCCCGGATGCCAAGATTACAAGGGGAGCAATGGCAAGATAGTTTGGGACCTGGTGTCATCCTTTTTCCATATGGGGTACCACTTATACGTGGACAATTTTAATTCAAGCGTGCCACTATTTAGACATTTTTACAATCTTGGAATGGGTGCATGTGGCACCGTTCGACCTAATAACCGTGGCTTCCCCCAACGGCTTGTAAATACCCATCTTAGAAAGGGGGAAAAAGCCTGCTTGAGAAATGAGTACCATATTTTTCGCTCCATAAGATGCACCTGACCATAAGATGCACCTAGGTTTTAGAGGAGAAAAACAAGAAAAAAAATATTCTGAACCAATGGACTGCAGACATAGTACAGGAGATGACCAGAGACTGCAGACATAGTACAGGAGATGACCAGAGACTGCGGACGTAGTACAGGAGATGACCAGAGACTGCGGACATAGTACAGGAGATGACCAGAGACTGCGGACATAGTACAGGGGATGACCAGAGACTGCGGACACAGTACAGATGACCAGAGACTGCAGACAGTACAGGGGATGACCAGAGACTGTGGACATAGTACAGGAGATAACCAGAGACTGCAGACAGTACAGGGGATGACCAGAGACTGCGGACATAGTACAGGAGATGACCAGAGACTGTGGACATAGTACAGGAAATGACCAGAGACTGCGGACATAGTACAGGGGATGACCAGAGACTGTGGAAATAGTACAGGAAATGACCAGAGACTGCGGACACAGTACAGATGACCAGAGACTGCAGACAGTACAGGGGATGACCAGAGACTGTGGACATAGTACAGGAGATGACCAGAGACTGCAGACAGTACAGGGGATGACCAGAGACTGCGGACATAGTACAGGAGATGACCAGAGACTGTGGACATAGTACAGGAAATGACCAGAGACTGCGGACATAGTACAGGGGATGACCAGAGACCGTGGAAATAGTACAGGAAATGACCAGAGACTGCTGACACAGTACAGATGACCAGAGACTTCAGACAGTACAGGAGATGACCAGAGACTGCAGACAGTACAGGAGATGACCAGAAACTGCAGACAGTACAGGAGATGACCAGAGACTGCAGACAGTACAGGGGATGACCAAGAGACTGCCGACAGTACAGGAGATGACCAGAGACTGTGGACCTTTGGGGAGGGAAGGGGAGCGGGTACCAGAATTTGACAAGCAGCACCCGCTCCAACTTCCGCGGCGTTGTCCTCCCTTTAGTGTGGGCACCCGGCTGTGACAGACTTCTGGGACACATGACAGGTCCCAGAAGATGCCGGGCCATTCACAAAGCGCAGTGCTTCTCGCACATGCACAGTGGGCACCTGGCTGTCACAGCCGGGTGCCCACACTAAAGATGCCGGAGCGGGAAGACTGTACAGCGCTGGACCGAGGAACAGGTAAGGTCCTGCTGCAGAGAAGAGCTGAGCGGCCATCCCGGTATTCTGACTTGGTGTCGGCGGCGGAAATACCAGACCGGCCGCTCCATATTCACTCCATAAGAGCACTGACATATTCCCCCCTTTTTTTGGAGGAAAAAAAAATGCATCTTATGGAGCGAAAAATACAGTAATTGCTCCCAGTTAAGTGGAAGGACAAACAGAATATTTTCGTACTGTCTTCCATTCACGCAGACACAACCATCCAAATTGCCATGGCAGCTGGTGTTGTTGAGAAGGTCCTCTGTGTCCACCACTATAACCATAACTTGGGAGGAGTGGACTTAAATGAGCAGATGATGAAGCTGTACTTAGTTTCCCGAAAAGCCAGATGCTGGTGCAAAAAGGTGTGTTTATTTCAATTGGCTCTATATAATGCTTTTGTGCTTTACAAAGCAACTGGACAAAGTGGATCCTTCCTAAAATTCCAGGAAGAGATCATCATGACCCTTTTGTATCCAGAAGGTGCTGAGGCCCAAACCCCCAACCCAGATGCAGTTAGCCGGCTGCATGAGAGGCATTTTCCCAATGCCATTCCTGGGACCCCAACCCAAAGGACACCCCAAAAAAGATGTCGTGTCTGTAGCAAACATGGAATCAAGGGTGACACTCACTTTTTTTGCCCATCCCGTCCTGTCCAACCTGGTCTCTGCCTCAAGGACTGCTTCCTGCTTCCACTACCACACACTAGGGGAGGCTTAGTATAGGGTACACAATAGCATAGTTCAGGGCACATATTTACACAGGGTCTTGAAAGATGTTAGGTAGTCAGGAAACTGGCTATCACATTTTCAGAGACCCTACAATCTGTTTTAAAAATTTAAAGTTAAAAAAAAGGGATTGCTTTTACAAGCAGCGGAAGAAGATGCCCCCCCTCCCCCACTGCCTTCGACGTCCTTCTCGGGCAGTCCTGTGCCATCGGGGGAACCTAAGAATATAGCCGGTGTTTCTGCCAGCTGGCCATAGAGCTGATTGGGGACCGAAATGGTGCCAGTCATCTCTATAGTCTAAGAAATCGGAAGCTATGATCATTTCATCACTTCAGTTTTGCAGGATATAAACAGCACCATTTGTAAATTGGAAAAGCATCTGATCACACTGATCTGGGGAGATTAGACAATGCCCATTGAAGTTATAGGGGATATTTGCATTCCTTGTGATAGCATTAAAAGTGATAAAAAAAAAAAATAAATGAAAGGGACAGTGTCATGTTTCACATGACTGTCATATTGTCTGTCATATGCCTTTAAGTGTTTTCTATATTTTGTTTCTGCTCCTTCCTTTCCTTTGGTTTAGTTAATGCTCCTCCCCTTTTCCCAGAGATGCATGGAGCAGGAAACATTATGATCTTTTGACCTATCGAATGTTCATTGTTGTAAGATTCTCTCAGTTTATGGAATAAACTTCACAAGATCTACAAGATGTCTTATCGATTGAGTCACTGACTGTGGTATCCAACTGAGGTTGAAGTTATCGCTATCTCATCACAACTGTAAGTTACAGAGATCACACTATCAATGCTTAGATTGGAGAGACAGAATAGATAGTATAAAAATTAAAAAAATCTAAATAACTTAAAGCACCCTCGCCCCCACACATGTGAACCTGCGTGTGCGAGCGTAGACCCTGTGCCAGTATGTAAACAGCGGTTGCACCATGCATTTGAGGTATTGCCACAAATGTCAGATCGAGGGCAGTAATTCTAGCACTAGACCTTCTCTGTAAATCTAAAATGGTAGCATGTGAAGGCTTTTAAAGCATTGCCTATGGATATTAAAAATGTATGCAGTTTGTCACCATTGCACGGGGCATGCACAGTTTTAAAGCATGTCATGTTTGGTATCCATTTACTCAGCATACCATCATCTTTTATATTTTACCAAATAATTGGCCAATATATTGTGTTTTTGTGCATTAAAAGTAAAAAAAGTGTATTTTTTTAAAAACATTTGCGTTTGAAAAATCACTGCGTGAGTACTATGTGACATGAAAAATTACAGCACCCACCATTTTATTCACTAGAGTGTCTGCTTTAAAAAAATATATAATGTTTGGGGTTCAAAGTAATTTCCTAGCATAAATACTGATGTGAACAAAAAGTGTCAGAAACAGCTTGGTCTTCAGGTGGTTAGAAGAGTGAGTGATGTGTGGCATAAACTTCTAATGCTGAGCATAAAATGCCCCCACACCCCAAAATGAGACCTTTTTGGAAAGTAGACACCCCAAACAATTTGCTGAGAGGCATGTTGAGTCAATAGAAGAATTTATTTTTTTACCACAAGTTTTTGACAAATGACAAAAAAAAAATGTTTTTTTTTTTACAAAGTTGTCACTTAAATGATTTATTGTTCACACCTGCCATGGGTATATGTGTCCCCAAAATACATTCTACTACTTCTCCCGAGTATGGGGGTACCACATGTGAGAGACGTTTTGGCAGTCTAGCCAAGTACAGGACCCCCAAATCCAGTTAGCACCTTCAGGCTTTTCAAGGGCTTTATTTCCTCATTACACTTCCTGACTACCTATCACAGTTTCGGAGGCCCTGAAATGCCAGGATAGCACCAAACCCCCCCTCCCCCAGTGATCCCTTTTTGGAATTAGACACCCCAAGGAATTCGATAAGAAGCATGGTAAATGTTTTGCAGATCTTGTTTGTTGCCACAAGTTTTTGGAATATGAAGAACAAACAAAAACATATTTTTTCTTTTCTTATTTCTAAACCTTGTGAGAAAAAATTAGATCTGCAAAATACCATGCCACTGTTTAAATTCCTTGGGGTGTCTACTTTCCAAAAAGGGGTCATGGGGGGGGGGGGTTGGTTGGTGCTATCCTGGCATTTCAGGGCCTCCGAAACTGTGATAGGTAGTGAGGAAGTGAAATGAGGAAGTTACACACCTTCAGGCTTTCATAGCGGTCGTTGGATTTCAGGCTCCTGTATGTGGCTAGGCTCCCAAACAGTCTCACACATGTGGTATCTCCATACTAGGTAGAAGTAGCAGAATGTATGTTGGGGTGTAATTCCACATATACCCATGGCTTGTGTGAGCAATACATCATTTAAATGACAACTTTGTGTAACAAAAAAAAATGTTTGTCATTTTCCAAAAACTTGTAGAAAAAAATAAATTTTCCATGGACTCAGTTTGCCTCTCAGCATATAGCTTAGGGTGTCTACTTTCCAAAAAGGGGTCATTTGGGACGAAATGTTAGTTTTGTTTTATATTGTTATGACAGAAATGAGAAAATATTATGTTTTTCAAAATTTTCAGTCTTTTTTTGTATAGTGCGAAAAATAAAAAGTGCACAGGTGATCAAATACCTCCGAAAGAAAGCTCTATTTTTGTGAAAAAAAGGACGAAATTTTGTTTGGGTACAGCATTGCATGACGGCACAATTACCAGTTGAAATAGTGTAGTGCCGAATAGCAAAAAAAGGCCTGCTCAGGAAGTGGAGTAAATCCTCAGGAGGGCAAGTGGTTAAAAACATTGTAAAAATCAAATTTCTTCATAAATTTAGGCCAAAAATGTATTTTGCTACATCTTGTTTGTTGTATTGTTGGGTCAGTAGCCAGACCTGAACCTTGTAGCTCTCCCCATTGTGTCTTTTCCCCTATGCTATCATTGTGTCCACAGTAGCATTTGCGTAGGCAGAGCAGAGTAGGACTGGCCATAGAGGGATGACTTTGATGCAGTTGGCCAGCTTAAACATGTATTGCAATATGTGTGAACTAAATATCCCTATTCTTTATTGCAAATTCTGCTGGAAAGGGTATATACCAGTGTGCAGAGGGTCCTTCAGAATTTTTCTAGTGTTAATATGTGGTTACACCCCTTTAGCACCTGATGGATAAATGCATGCACTAGCTATTGGGATTTGAGCCCAGGTATATATTGTTTGCAGTCTGACACTAACTGACACTTTGTGGGAACCAGTGACACTAATACAGTGATCAGTGCTAAAAATATACACTATCACTGTATTGACACTGACTGGGAAAGGGTTAAACATCTAGGGTGATTAAAGGCTTAATTGTGTGCACTGTGTATCTTGAGTGCACTGTTTTTGAGTGCACTGTGTACTGTTTTTACTAGGCAATCTGCTAGATTTTAATCCCTGAATAAAACCTAGCAGATCTCCACTGACATAACACAGCTCTGCTTTGTTCACATAATCAAAGCTGTGTTATGTCAGTGTCCTCAGCGATCAGCAGGTGCCAGCACTCATCTATTGGCCAGCACTTGTTGATTGACTTCTGCTGTGTCCAATCACAGCAGAAGTGGCGCATCAGCAGCAGGTGTGCGCTCTCTTGTGGCGGAAATGCAAATACATGATTTTGCACAGAATGTCCACCCTGTAGCAGCAAATCTGCTATGGGGAGGAGGTCAAGTGGATATACAGAATCTCTAACAGCGAGCTTTAAGGGCTTCCTGTTATAAAGACCAGTCACTGTTGCTCTCTCTTCTTGTGCAGG